AGTGGATTGGCGAGCTGAGACTGACTGCAAGAAGGAGGTGGCCAGCAGCGTCTATGAATCCAGTGAGCAGTTTGTTGAAAGTGGCCAGAGTGGGGTGGACATCAGCTGGAAAGTGGGACTGGATCTCATCATCCCTCGATCAGGATCTCTCATGGTAGGAGGTACCCACTCAAAACAGGCCAGTAAAGCTATGGAGATGTCCAAGAAGGACAAGTACAGCTTCATTAAACAGGAGTTCCACTGCAGCTACTACAGGTGAGGGGGGGGTAGTGCTCATGGGGGTGATAAGATGGAAAGATGCAGAGGGCAAGAAATGAACCACAAACTCTTGAAATGCTGATAAGGCTTAATCATGTCTTTTTTAAACAGTGTGTCACAAAATGATTTATTTAAAAACGTTTATAGTGGCTGACAACCACACAAATATATGAGGAATATGATGTACAAAGGATGAATTTAACCACAAGAAAGTTTAATAAAATTCAATGCAAGTGCTTACAATCATAAACACTAATATATTACTAATATTACAGTTTCAATTTGTGTCCTGTATTGATTTAAAATGGAACACAGTAATTTATTTTCAATACGGGACAGGTGGCACCTGTTGCAGCAATGTCTGATCTTTTCCTTGACAGTCAGAGAAAAAAAACCAACAATAAACTCTACTGTCTGCATTTCATAGTGTTACGCCTATGAAAAAATATGTTTATTTTATATGATTTAGCCGTTTTAATAAAATTTCACTTTTAAGTTTGTCAACTTTTTCATGTTCAAGTCTAAGGGAATTTTAAGTGAAAATGGACTAAAGTAAAGAAATAATGACGAGTTATATCATGATAAATATCAATAATGACTGATATGAAAAAATATATATATCGTGATAAAATTGTAACACTGTTGATTCCTGGCTCAGAACCAACCTATTACATACTATACATAGGGAGGGACATTTCAGGGTAACGTAAAGAGAAGTACACCATCAGTTCACAGACCAAAGAATATTTACTATTATTACAAGGTGAGCATATGACCCCAGCAAATGTACAGATAAATAAGGAATTAACAATAACTTAAGAAAAGTGGTGTTGAGATGGATAACCATGCAACTGAGATGAATAGCACAGTCCTATGGAAGCATACAGGACTGTCACAGAAAATTAGAATATTGTGATAAAGTTCTTTATTGTCCGTAATGCAATTAAAAAAACAAAAATGTCATACATTCTGGATTCATTACACATCAACTGAAATATTGCAAGCCTTTTATTGTTTTAATAGTGCTGATTATGCCATACAGCTTAGGAAAACTCAAAAATCCTATGTCAAAAAATTTGAATATTTCCTCAGTCCAAGTAAAAAAATAAGATTTGTAACAGCAAAACAAAATCAAACATTTGAAAATGTCAATTAATGCACTCAGTACTTGGTTG